AGTCAGGAGCCACACACTCCACTGCGTCCTAGCAAGAAGTACGGTCGACTTAGTTCGCGCTCCGTTAATTTGGAAGTTTTCTCACTATTCTCTGACGTAAATTATCAGTTTTTTTTTCTCGCCTAGTGATTCCTGGCATAATTCCCGGTAAATTTTATCAAAAAGTGAGTTTTTTTTCTGAGAAGAAAGTGTGTTTTCGGCATCATCGGAAGGAAAATTGTTTTTGCGATTGGCAATTCGCCAACCATTTTGCGCACCACCGGTGCGTGGTAACGGATACATGCACACGGATCAGTGTCATCGAGTGTCCGCATCTGTTTCCGCATTTACACCGATCTTCTATCATCGTGTGTTCAGCTGAGTGCCGACCCTTATACAAGCATACCACAACGAAGACCACCCACACACGCAGATCGAAGATCATCTAAGCTGCGCAACGCTCCGCTGCTGCTGTGTAAACGCTCGGTGGTAGTAGTATAGGATTATCAGATAAGTTTTTGTTCTTGTTTCTTTCTTTCACCCATCAGTTAAATTTTAAGTTTGTGTTTCTGTGTTTGTTTTTTTTTTTGTTTTGTTGTGTCCGAGTGATAATCGTTTCAGTGGTAGAGCGTTTTTCCCTCCCACTAGTACGGCAAAATGGACATTTTGTCGCAAGACGAAATGGACGTTTTGTCGGAAGATGACACTTCTTTGCCACGCGATTGCAAAAAGGGTCGAAAACGTACGTCTTCTCAGAAGACAGATGCTGCCATCCCTGGTTCATCGTCTTAGTCTGGCAAAGGTCTGGCTCAGAAAACCCCGATCGCGAGCCTATCCAGATGACTCGACTGGCCCATGGGTTGTCTACTTTCAGCCCAAAAACAAACCTTTGAACGTTGTTCAAATCTCAAATGATTTGACGAAGCGATTCTCGGCCGTGGCCGAAATCACGAAGGTTAGGCACAATAAACTTCGTGTGTCCGTCTCTAACCTGAAGCAAGCTAATGAGATTGCTGTCTCCCAGCTCTTTACGCTTGAGTATAGAGTTTACATCCCAGCTCGTGATGTGGAGATCGAAGGTGTGGTCACCGAAGCGAGTCTGACCCCCGAGATCTTGGAGAAGCAGGCGGTTGGCCGTTTCAAGAACCGTTTGCTTCCCCCGGTGAAGATACTGGATGTCAGTATCTGTCAGCGAGGGTAAAAAGAGTTTTACCCCCACAGACTCGTTTCGTGTAACCTTTTCTGGTTCAGCCCTTCCTCACTACATCGAGCTGGGAAAACTTCGACTACCTGTGCGTTTGTTCGTTCCCTGGGTCATGAACTGCCAAAATTGTAAGCAGTTGGGACATACGGCTTCCCACTGTGGCAGCAAGACACGCTGTTCCAAATGCGGAGAGAAGCACGAGGATGGCGCCTGCACAGTCACTGCACCAAAATACTGTAAGGGAACTCCTCATGGTCTCTCGTCTTACCCGGTGTACAAACAACGCGGGGAAAAATTACAACGCTCACACAAGGAACGATCTCGGCAGTCTTTTGCAGAAATGCTTTAGACGTCCACGCCATCGACCAACGACAAAAATCCATTCTCTCTTTTGTCAGATGACGAGACTGACTCTGAGTTGGCTGAGGAGGGAACTTCTGCACGGAACGAAAACGTGACTATACCCAGGATTTTCCAAACCCCTGATGTCCCATTTTTAAGAACAGAAGCCTCTTCTTCATCTGGGTTGTTCTCATTTGATCGATCGGGGATTTGATCACTGTTCTGCAGTGGAATTGCCGAAGCCTTATTCCAAAATTAGACTCTTTTAAGTTTTTAGCTCACAATAATGATTGTGATGCATTTGCTCTTTGTGAAACTTGGCTCTCTTCAGATAAAGATCTTCCTTTTTATGATTTTAACATTATTCGACTGGATCGTGAGGATTCGCGTGGAGGAGGGGTAATTTTGGGGATCAAAAAGTGCCATTCCTTCTATTGAGTGAATCTTCCACAATTTACAAGTATTGCAGTTGTTGCATGTCAGGCTATTATTAAAGGTAAGAGCCTTTGTATTGCTTCTGTTTATATTCCTCCTAGAGCCGTTGTTAATCGAAAACAACTTTCAGATATCTGCTCGGTATTTCCTACTCCACGGTTGATTATGGGAGATTTTAATTCCCACGGTACAGGCTGGGGGGAACTGTATGATGACAACCGTTCTACTATGATATATGACCTCTGTGACAACTTCAATATGACAATTCTTAACAATGGAGAAGTAACACGTTTGGCTGGTTATCCTCAAATGAAAGTAAATTAGACCTCACACTTTGCTCTACCTCATTATCGTTGGATTGCACGTGGAATGTGATCCAAGATCCCCACGGTAGTGATCACTTGCCGATCAAAATTTCGATTGCCAGTGGGTTCAATCCGTCGGAATCCGTTAACGTCGCGTACGACCTCACCCGTAATATCGATTGGACAACGTTCAAGACCGCGATGGAGGAAGCCATGTCGTCGGTAGAAGGGCTTCCACCGTTGGAGGAATATAACTTTCTCTCCAATCTGATCTTGGACAGCGCGCTTCGAGCTCAAACTCGGCCGGTTCCTGGAACGTCTTTCCGTAGGAAACCTCCTTTCCTTTGGTGGGACCAGCAATGCACTGAGGTTTATCGTAAAAAGTCCGACGCGTTTAAGCTTTTCCGGAAAGGTGGAACACCCGTGAATTTCGAAGCGTACTCTTCTCTTGAACGCGAATTCAAGAGCCTCATCAAAGCCAAGAAACGCGGATACTGGTGGCAATTCGTGGACGGATTATCGCGCGAAACGTCGATAAATACGCTTTGGAACGCGGCGCGAAGGATGCGCAACCGGTCTTCGAACAACGAGAGCGAGGAGTACTCAGATCGTTGGATTCTCAAGTTCGCGTGAAAAGTATGCCCTGATTTTGTGCCGGCACAGATCATTCCTCGCGGTACACGAGATCAGCCAGCCTTTTTCAATGCTGGAGCTCTCACTCGCGCTCCTTTCGTGTGGCAATTCGGACTTGTTTTGTCAGTTCCTGGAGCTCAATATTGTTCCGGATGATTGGAGGCAAGTGAGAGTTATAGCCATTAAAACGCCTGGAAAACCCGCTTCAGATCACAACTCTTATCGTCCCATCAAGATGTTATTGTGCATTCGAAAATTGTTGGAGAAAATGATCCTTTTTCACTAGGACAAATGGGTTGAGACGAATCACCTACTCTCAGATACTCAATTTGGATTCCGTAGGGGCAAGGGAACGAACAACTGTCTCGCGTTGCTTTCCACAGAAATTCAGATGGCTTTTGCTAAAAAAGAGCAAATGGCTTCTGTATTCTTTATCGGTTGAAATCCTTCAGACAAACTCCACGCTTGTGGCCTTTCTCCATTAATAAATAACTTTGCTGTCACAGAAACATATGAGCTTTTCTCATGGAAACTCTACAGCTTCTCGATTTAGTTACATACAGATTCATTCATTAGTACCATTTGGATGGAGAAAAGAAGACAACCAAAAAAAGTATTGAGGTATCCCGATATTATCAAAACTTTTATCACTTAAACACTCTTGGGTCATTCGTGACTTGTCCGGGGTGAGATTTGAACTCGTAACTTTGGCGTGAGAGGTACGGGTGTTAACCACTACGCCGGATTCGTATCGTCGTAAATAATTTTAATCCCCCCATTTTTCACTCATTCTGTTACCTATCTTATAACTGAAATAAACTAGGAAGAACGAATATAACCATTCATTGAAATGAAAGCTATGTTGTAAAATTCACGATATGTTGTCCGTAAGTAAATGTTGCAGAAAAAGACTTGAAAATATTATAATTAAAGATCAAAACTAAGACCTTATCAAAACTTGTTCGTGAATCATCAAAATGTGTTCCTCGCCCCTTAGTTGATAATTACCGCCATTCAACATCTTACATTGAAGCAAAAATGAAGAAAATATTTTTGTCCGCTTGCTTGTATGGAAATATCCCCTACACAAATGCGTAGCTTCGTCCCGAAAGGGATACAAGCTTCACTGTTTTCCCGCAAATCCAATTCACAACCAAATTTGTTCAAATTTTGAATAGTTGTTGGGAATCTCAATATAAATCGATTGAACAGGGCATTGTCCCGTTGTCTGACTCATTTTTGAAAGATAGATTTTTTTAAAACTATTTCAGACGAATATTAGTTGAGCAATTTTTCATATTTCTTTTGGTCCAGTATTATTAGGTGCTTTGAAGCTGATGTACATAATCCGATCTGTAATTTTAAACTTCATCGTTTGCGTTTTACTTCTGCATGCAAAACATTCCCCCATCGATACAATATTAGCGAGGTTAGGTTTCGGAAAAGTTGTTGTTTTTACGGTTAATACATTCTCAGGCATTACGCCAAACAATAACCATATGTGAATGCAATCCAGTATTAGTTTTGAATACATTCAAAATCAGAGGAAACCATTGCGTAACCGTTATATGAATTCTTTTGCACATCCATTTCAAATTATGTTAGTAGGTTATTGAGAATTAAAATTCAGAATGCAAAATAAAAATTACAATCAACTCTCCCCATCTCGATATTGAAGGGACCATGGAGCTAGGGCAGCTATCGACTTGAAGCGGTAAATTAAAAAAAAATCGAGTTATGAAGATTAGACTGTACAATCGTAGTCAACGGAGGTCCTGGGGGTGGTCATTTCATACAAACCATGTCAGTACTTGTTTTAGTAGGGGATGCAGGATGGTAAAGTTCAAGATTGAGAAATAATATTCATCAAGGGCAGCAGCATGTGGATTTACAAGAAGATTGGTGAGCAAAAGTTGATAGCAGAGGAGGGATGGGCTCAAACATTACCGAAGAAGACAAGGGGAGGGAAGGGCACTGCAGAGAACAAACAGGGACTCCAAGCCCAAAACACACACATATCTAAGGGGACAAACCACGCATACAAGGCTCACTTTGCCACTCTACTGCGCTACTTCCGGGAATGTCCGGGAAACGAGACTTACAAAACTTTTTCTATTCTTTGATGACGCTGACTGGTGATGATCGTCGGTGCTGTCGTCACTTTTTCTGGCCGAAGATGATGTCGCCTTAGAGTCGGGCCGGAATTGTCTCAGCAAAAACTTGGCTTGGGCATTGGTCGATACCAGACGTAGAAGCTGATAGTCGAGCAATGAGCAGCATTTGTTTTTTTTTTGTTTTTTTTTTGCGTATGGCAAAATTGTGCAGATTGATGAACATGCGTGTCGGTGCAATTTGAAAAGATACAAAAATCAAATAATTTAATTTTGTTGCTAAAGCACACGGGGAGCTGTTATTTCGGTGAAATCCACTCGCTGCTAGTGACACACGGTTTTGATCATCGGCTTGTCCTGGTGCGACTTTCTTAGGTTTGATGAGGTTTCGGTTAAAGGTTTATGACTAAAAGTGTTAGTTGATCGAGGATTATTAGTACAAACATATAGAGGATTATCTCAGCTACATTGTGTTTGAAGCAAAAGCTTTGGTTGATTTGAAGACAGCTAAAAAGACTTTTAGACCAAACAATGCCGCAAAGCAATTGCAATTACAACACGGCCATAATTTTTCTGTACAAATTTGATTAATAAAAACTGCCAAAAAGCTCAAACGAAAACATAATCCGGTTAATGAGTGGAATTCGGGTTAGGCAGAACACAAAACAAGAAAATTAATCTCACAGCTTTTCGGGTTGCGTCGTCTAGGTCGCGATCCTTGAGTGATCCTCCGAGTAGCTGACGAATCTAAACAACGAAAATGAACGCACAATGTGGTGCGGGAGCAGTGGTGGTGGTGGTGAGGCGGTGCATATGTATGAAGAGCGTGGGTATTTTATAATTGTTGGGAACAACGAAAATTGAACGAATAAAAATAGGAAAAAAGGCAAAAAACAAAATTATTATGAATAATCAAAATAAAATAAATACCTTAGCACGGTTTAAACGCAATACAGCTCTTTTTGGGAAAAAAAAAATCGTTGAATCTATCCCTGATTTGCATTGTTTTGAAGTTTTTATTTCCCCGGAATTAGGCAATTAGCTCTGTCCGTTTACTTACCACAAGGAACTCATCCTTATCCACTCGCTGGTTGCCGTCCGTATCGAACATATTGAAAGCAATTCGGAATCCAGAATGTGGCTCTTGGAAGGAGAAGATCGAGGATGTTTATTTTTTTACAATTTGATTTAAGAAGTCAATATAGAGTCGGCTATGCGAAGTGAATTGAGTCAATGGCAGCTCAAGGCCACATTGCTCACACTGTATCGAGTTCGTCATAACCTTGAAAATGGCTAACTCCAAAAACTTACTTGTTAGCACTGACAGCAAAAACAGATATTCCGTGTAGGAGATTATTCCTAGTCAGATAGGAGAAAAAAAAAACAATGTTAATTACAGTTAGCACGACTAATTTGCCCGATTCCCACAAACAATCCCACAACCACACGCCCGATTAGTCCTCAATGGGACCAACTATGCTCATATTTCTTGTATAAAGTGCCCCCACAACGTACCCTTATCGCGCAAGCTGCGAAATAGTTGAGAAGATCCGTTCTTGAGCGGTGGCGTGACATCTTTCAGCTTCTGTACCTCCTCCGGTGTCAACGATTTCCGCTTCAGCCGAGCTGAAAGAGAAGAAAAAAAACAGAATTGAGAACCGAATCAGTTTTACCCACGGAAGGCAGCAAAACAAGGAAATTATCTCGTGTATGTGAAACTGGCTGCGATTACGCAAGTTGACACATGGTATTAAAAGCATTTCCCTTCCACCGACCGGCCGTGCCCAGAAGTTGGCCAGCCGCCAAAGGTCAGACCCGCTATTCCGTAAATGGGAAAGATGAACGCGTGGTTCGCGTGGTGTCTTTGTGCTGCTGTTTGATAACACCCGTTCGGAAATGTTCCGTTCCTCATACGCGCGTGAAGCGGTCAGTTTGCCGGTGTCTGTCTTATCAGCCGCCAAGGACCATTTGGCGCGCCGGCCGGTCGGGTCGGTCATTTGGGCTGCGTGGGATATTAACTGCTATCCATTCTTACACACGATATGCTCCTACTTACGTCGTGGCTCTTGTTCGACGACCGACTCCAGAAAGTCTTGCGGCGTCATGTAGATCTGACCGTCGAACTCAACCGAGGCGAACTTGATGAAGCGCCGCTCGCGGGCCGTCAGCTTGATTGCCTTATCGGCGACCTCGTCCTGCAATTGGACCAATAATGATTTTCGGTTAGTGAACATGAATGGAAGGTTTTGATTGGAATAATTTTGACCCACGCAACGATTGCGTGCGAACATCATTCAATGGTATCATAGCTGTAATATTATTATACGCGCTAGCTATTTGAAGTTTATATGGTAAAAGTGAACTTTTTGTTCGACTAGTTCTCAAGCCCCTTCAAAACATAACATCGATTATTGCGGTTTCATCGCTTGCAGAGCAGGAAAAAAAAAAATGACTGACCAATAGCAAATTGTGTTATGAAAAAATTAGAGATCTGAATAACTTTTTTTTGCTATTCCCGGGAAAAAATAACCATACAATTACCATAAAATAAAATACAATTACCACCAAATCTACTGCCAAAAATCGATCTTATTGGACGTATATAATGCATGTTAAATTAGTATATCCTTATTACAACAGATCTACAATACGTTCGTTATAAGAATTTACAGCAATAGAAAAATAATAAATTTTATTTTTGTTCCTTGATTTGTTTTTCGTCGATCTTGTTTTCCGTGCTGAGTACCAATGCTACCGACGCCAGGAAAGCAGCTTCCTCACCTAGGCCCTACCTATCGACCGATCAACTCATGGACCGGGGACCAACGGCTTTAGTTCCCTTCCGTAGGAACGCGTGATCAGAGATTTTATGCCTCAGAAAATCCCGTCGGTGCCGACTGGAATTGAACCCAGGCCCTTTTTGGGGGTGAGAGGCAGTCATACTTCCCACGACACCACAGGCGTTGCTAAGCAAAAAAAAATAATGGTAACTGGCTTAAGTATGTTCCGGAAGTAATTATTTTTTCTATGGTTAAGACATATAACAATAGGCCGTGTTGATTTTTGCGAATTTTGGAATAAGTTAACGTACATAGTGATAAAAGTTGGATAACTGCCTAAAACATCCCCAGCGAAAGTTTTTTTGCAAATCGTCTTGCTTGGTCGACATGCATATCATTTTTTAAATGGAAATTTAACTTTCGTATGGGGAAAATCACTTTTTTATATTTTGAAGATAACGGGTACTTTTACGTAGAGCAAACAGTAAAAGAGCAACTATTCCTGAAAATGTTTACTGACTCCAAACAGTCAGACAGTACTCCGTACCAGGGCCCCACATAGTCACTTTCAATCAAAAATCGTCAAGTGACGATGAAGCTGTCAACCATCACTTTCAATTGAAAGTCATTGTGTCTTCTATTCGAGCAGATCCCCGTCAACATCAACGTAACCACTTTCGATTGGTTTTCATACTGTTTTGTTTTGACTCGTGTTCATTTCTTCTTTCCTTGTCGAATGAACTTTCTTTTGCATTGAAGCGAAGCTGTTGGATCCAAATTCACGCAGTTTTTATTATTTTTGTTGATTGTTCAATCGGTTCATTTAAGCGTATGCGCATACATCTGTGCACATCAATATGGGTATATTTTGAATCGGGGTGACGTCTAGAGTTTGAAAATTGATATGCGACGCCATTTTTAAATCCAAGATGGCGGCTTCCAGTTTAAGAAAAAGTGGGAACTGCTGTCAAATACACATCAATATTGGTATTTTTGTAATCGGTATGAAGTCTACAGATCGAAAATTGATATGCGACGTCATTTCGAAATCCAAGATGGTAGCTTCGGATTTCAGAACAAGTGGGAAATATTATCAAATACCCATCAATATTGGTATTTTTGGAATCGAGATGGTACACATAACACGCGACGCGAGACAAGACACAACACTTATCGTTCTTACAACATTTAAAACGGATTAAAAATTACCTTTCTGTCGACCGGTTTCGGGCGCGATGCTGCCCATCTACGGGACAATGTCCGACTGGTTACAATAGGATTGCTACGCTGTTGTGTAGACGTCCAGAGAAGAGAGTTGTTACTGTATTTTCAGCTTCGTCAAGTTGAACAAAGATGATGTGATGGGAGGATCATCTTCATTCATCAGTGGTTCCTGTGTGTTGTTGATATGCATTGATTCCCATGCATTGAGGTGTGAGGGTTTTCGTACTGTTTTGATGAGCTTCGCACTTTTCCAATCAATTTGATGATTGGAGGCCGTCGTGTGCGCCGCCACAGCTGAATCGTTTGATTTCTTGTTGTCGACAGCATTTTTATGTTCTTTAAGGCGAACTTTTACTTTGCGACGAGTTTGTCCGATGTACACCGAGGGACAATCCTGGCAGGGAATTCGGTAAATTCCAGACTGCTCATCCGCCGGAATCTTGTCCTTAAGGTTACACAACAGGTCGCGTAGAGTGTTGTCGCTTTTGTGTACTATGTGTAGTCCTTGACGTTTGAGTGTGTTTTTGATTGGGTTTGTGACTTTTGGATAAAATGGTAGGCTAATCCTCTTAGCTTCATCCCTCTCCGGCTGTAGTGTGGTTATGTTCTGTAGGCGTTTCTTGCGTTTGTGTTTTCGAGATGGTGTCTAGAGGTTGGAAATCGATATAACGTACGTACATAGGAGAAATGGATGTAATGTTGGCCTAAATGCCCCTAATTTGGGTCCATACATAAATTCCGCAATCAACTAAATTTTCAATAGCGAGCAAAAATATCCATTAGGACCGTCCCAATGACACGTTCATCTAGATAAAATTGATAAATAGCAGATTTTTAGCGATGGGCCCAATCTTAGATCCATAGACCAACATTAGAGCCATTTCCCATATATATTGAAAAAAGCAGCAACTTTTCTTTACAGCGAAAATCGTACAGTCTTTATAAGTACGATAATCTATTGAAACCCTTATTAATCGTTTGCTGTGATGGATACATGATTGAAGCAAATGGTCCTTATGCAGCTACAACGTTCGATGCAACCATTTTGAAAAATATGTTGCACAATGATGAAAGAATTCTAAATTGGTTTCTTAGGCTAGGTGATGTTTTTATTTTGGATAGAGGATTTTAGGACGCTATGGAAGAACTGAGTTTATTCGGTTATGAAGCAGGGATGCCACATTCCAAAAGCCGGAATCAAGACCAACTGACAACGGAGCAGGCCAATCAGTCACCGTTCCCAAGTAACCAAAAGTTCTGCTAAAAGGCTATTTGTGACTTAAGCAGCTTGGTTGAAGATGGTCTATAGAATTCTAGTCGTTAAGTCGTTATAAGAACTTGAAAGTTCTGGTACCATAATTGAAGAGCATTTTAAGCCGCTTCTGGCGGAATTTGAACGAAACTTTTAGAAAATAAATTAAAAAAGGTTTTTGGCCTCTACACCAATTTTATATTTAGTTCACACTTTTAAGAAAGTTATTTATAAAAGCAGGTGTTAATGTGTATTGATTTATCAGCGTTAGTAGTAGAGAATTAAACCCAGTCCTTCTGCATCAGAGCCTCAGCACGAACCGCTACGTCATCTGAGATATATTAAACTGAGCTATTGTCCCGCCTACTGTTGGAGTTTTCAGTGCCAGCTGACTGACTTGAATACGAAGCACAACACCTTGATGAATTTTAGATTGGTGTTTGCCCGCATGGTATTCTAACACACTTGCGGCATATTGGTTAGCAATCGTAGATCGCATGCCGAATACAAAGGTTCGAATCCAGGAAATTATTTTTTGTTTTTTTTAATTAACTGCATAAATATAAGAAATATGAATTATTCGGGCCACTGATCATTTCATATTTACGTACATTAAATTTTGTTACTAATAAAGACTTGTGTGGATTGCTCCATGTGGCTTGAAAGTTCTGTCGGAACTTTATTTGAACTTTATGGAACTTGAAAGTTCTGTCGGAACTTTATTTGAACTTTATGGAACTTGGAAGTGATTTTAATCGTTGAATGCGGAACTTTTGATTTCTTGGGTTGGTTACCATCTGTCGATAGGTGATTGAGGTAGATGACGGACGATTCAAGCGAGATTTCAAGTTGTTCCGTCAAAGTTATTTCAATGGGCAATGCGGCATATGTTTGAAGATTTCAGAGTGGCAGCAGCCTTCATAAATGCTTTCCACCCACCTGTTGTGAACAACGCACGGGCTCCAGACTTTCTTTATATCATTAATGAAAGAATCAACCTGCCTAATCGATTGTCTATCACAGACAGCGAGCAACTTTTTTGCGAATGTCTGGGGAGCTACCAAAATTCAACATTTTTTCCATGTTTACAGAGAACGAGCTCATATTATTTGTTGTTGGTCAGATAAATAGTAAAATATTTTATGTTTTTTAATCAACAGGGACATATCAACTGAAATAAGTTCGTAGTTACTATGCTGAACATTTATAAAATGGTCATTCCGTATCGAGCGCTGAGTCGGTTAACACGGTCCCGGTCTCTCTCACACGACATAAAGTATTAGTTGTGATTTTTTTCCACCCGCGTGGTTTTTTTCGCATCACAGTGCAGTGTCCAGGTGATAAGCGCGCGTGTCTCGGAAGCACCGAAATTCGGCGAGCCCGTTTATTTCGAGTGTCCATCTCTACCCATCCCGGTGAAAGATCACCATCATCACGACGTCTCCATTGTATCGCAATTATCGACGTCTCCATTGTATCGCCACCTGCAGCTGCAAGCAAGCAGTAGCAAACGGCATAAGTATAATAGAATAGTTTTTTCGATTGCCTTGCTATTGTATAGCAAAGTTGCCTTGTGGCAGTGTGCTCTCCCTAATAGGGTGGGGCATTTTTGCAATTAGTAAAAAGTTAATTTTTTTTTTTTTTTATATAATCTTTTTTTTTTTGATAATATTTTTTTTGTATGGTTGCATGGCAACGAAATATTAACAACTAGTAGTTAAGTAAATTAATTGGTGAAAGTTATTCTTAAGTTTTTTTTTATTTTTAAGCGGTTGTGCACCGCTTCTGCGCAACACTTATGGCGTCTTCGGATGCCTACGTTGCGCGAACCAGATACTACCAACCGTCTTCGAAAGGACCATGGGTTGTCTTTTTTCGGCCCAAAAATAAACCTTTGAAAACTCTCGACATTACGAGAGATTTGCTGCGGAAGTATCCGGGAATCTTGGCACACAAGGAAAGATTCAACAAACTGCGGTAGAAGCACCGACTTATGATGTGGCAAATAAAATTGCTGAACACGAGCTTTTTAGTG